AATAATTTGAAAAAGTGGTAGAAATGATAGCTATTTCGGAGATCACCACATTTCCTCATCAGACTTCTTTGAGTAAGATTCAAACCGGCGATCCCACTGACTCGAAAAATAAAAATCATTGTAAATTACAGTACTGTATAGATAAATTTAAATGTATTTGATTTTCATCAAGTGTTTCAACCCAGCAAAAACGTTACGTTTTTTTGTAAGCGCTTACTTTTTGTATCGATGGAGCAACGCATTACAATACGCCGCAAGAATAAATTTTTTACTTCGTCGTTTGCCCACTGCATTACTGGTATGTTTTATATATGATAGGCTGTCTTCCGAAACGTATCAATACAATGTTTGGAAACTGTTATACTGCGGTATTCAAACTATTTTTATATGCAGAGTTGCGACACATTGCAACCATATACATTGCATATTTTAAATATTCAATATAGCAATGAACAATTTCTCTGATTTTTCCATTTTTAAAACACCAATGGTAACCAATAACAATCGAAGCATTAACTTTGTTTCTGATGCGCTGATTGCTCTAGCGATGCGTTTCGATAACTTTTTGGATACGTTTTGTAAAAGTATACATTGTCAATATTTTTTAGTTCGGCGTTGTGGAACATTTTACTTTGTACGTGTGCAAAGCAATTGACTTTTGGAAGTCAGCCATACTATTCGTAATCTCGTAATATATCGATAAATTTAAGTGTATTTGATTTTCATCAAGTGCTTCAACCCGGCAAAAACGTTTCCTTTTTGGGTAAGCGCTTACTTTTTGTATCGATGCAGTAACGCATTACAATACGCCGCAAGACAAAATTTTTCACTTCCTCATTTACCCACTGCATTGCCAGTAAGCATTTTTACAATTTCTCGCTTACCTCCAATGACATGCCCAGGTTAAAGTAATAGCTGAAATACATTGACAGCGAACGGCGAACTCACCACAGTGTAATTCGCGCTGTCAAAACAACCGCAAGCATATGAAATTAGCACAGCCAATGCGAAATACGAAGTTCGCTCGGCGGCGTTTCATGGCGATAGATTTATTTCTATCGCCCTGCTGGGCGATGACATCTGTACGTGCCAAAGGTGGCCGTATTTCTTTTTTGATTTCAAAGTTTTAGAAGAAAACACCATAAACACGAATTATTTTTATTGTTTGAAACATAAGTTGTGGATTTGCTCAATCTGGTTTGAAATAATATAATTAATAATAATTTCTCTTTGTTTTGCATTTACATTTGTTATCATTTCCTCATTTCTAAACATGGTTTCATTTTTTCTACATATGGTCACCCAATTTAAAAAGGCGACCAAATGGTATCAGCTTTTCTCGTTGCCGCTGTAATTATGTTTAAGTAGGCGAAATAGCTGGGCGAACGATGAAAACCAGCATCGCCCAAATACGCGAAGTTTGCCATTCGCCGGTATTGTATTTCAAGAATAATGTGTTCTGTAAACTAGAAGGTATGTGGCGAATTTCGAAAAGCGCTTACCAATCGAGATTCACCACTCACCTTCTAGTTTAGAGAACACATTACTTTAACCTGCGCATGTCATTGGAAGTAAGTGAGAAACTGTGAAAATTCTTTTCCACTGTATTACCTGTAATGCAGTGGTAAACAAGCAAGTGAAAAATTTTGTCTTGCGGCGTATTATAATGTGTTACTCCATCGATGCAAAACGTAAGCGCTTACCAAAGAACCAAAGTTTATGCTGGGAAAAGTTACACGAGGAATGAACAGTTAGATCACTGTGCAAGTTTTAAATTTTGAGCAAAGATTTTGAAATCTGAACCCACTTAATTGGGACGTTCTAAATTCAATGGACATCCCCCGTTTTACCAAATTGGCTCCGGTTTTCGAGATAGCGGCACTTAAAAATCTTATTAAATTTTAACTATTTTATAAATAACTGCGTCAGTTTTGAAGTTATTTTACTAAGATCTTGCACATAGCGGTTTTTTAATAGTACCTTAATTATTCCTTAAAATTATCGAAATTAAAATTATCAGCCATGAACTACTTCAAACTCAAAAACTATTTTGGGTTTAGTGCCTTTGCCGTGCAGTTAATGTAGAGCTATCTGTTCGACCGAAGCCAGAGATTAAAAGTTGGTGCGGAAATCCTTTGCGTTGCCTGTATGTAAAAGAAAGATTAAATTTGATGTTATTCCGTTCTTGTACATTGGTGATAAGTCTCCTAAATTTGTTTCTAAAGTGACTAATCTCGGTTTTGTTATAAACACTAACCTAACATGCACTGACCATGTTAACTCTAAGGGCCGGTTACTCAATGTCTGGTTAACGCTAATCCTCGGTTAAACATAGTTATCGACGTTACCGACTCCCTGTTGTATGCAGATTGGTGTTAACCAGACATTGAGTAACCGGCCCTAAGTCTATTATACTTTAAGAAATTTAAGAATGTCTGCTACTTTTACGCCATTAATAGTTAGGCGTAAACTGGTTATTCAATTAATATTGCCGATTATCTGCTATTCCGAACTAGTCTACAGCAGCCTGGATTCTCAATCTTCTTATACAATTGATGTAGTATTCAATCATGTTACTCGATATGTTTTTGGGCTATCGAAATTTGAGCGAATATCCGACTGGAAATTGTATTTTTTGTAATTCGGCTAATGATGGATAAAGATCCTAGATATCTATACGAAAAATTATCCTTCTCAAAGTCTGCGCGCCTTACTGACCCAAGAATGATAGAATACAAGATTGCGCCCATCAGAGAGGATTTTTGAGATTAAGTTTTGTGTGACGTCACACTAGTGCATTTGCGAGAGATAAATGCCAAAACGCGAGCAAGAATGGAAGAAGAAGAAAAAAATGTTCAAGTAAAACGTAAACAAGTTGCACGAGTGTGACGTTATACAAACAGCGATTCTGTCAAATTCACTGAGAGCGGAATAGCGGTACCGAGATGGGCGCTACCTTTTATTCTCTACATCGTGTTACTGACCTGATTATGTCCAAGTACCATTATCTAACATCTGTAAGACTATTTTTCGTCAATGCTATTCCCACCTGGAACTCGGTTCCAGGACATATTCGCAACAGTCTAAATTAAAGCAACCTTAAGAGTATTTTGTATTCTCATTTTAGTTAACTTATTATCAGTTGAAGTTCGCTATCTATACGGGAAAATCTAAAAAATAGGTACACTTTCCAAAAAAAGAAATTATTTTTAAATTTGTGAGCACACGTATGTTTTATATACCATTTTATTCGCAATCTCTTAATAAATCAAATAATATAACAGTAATTAATTTTCATCAAGTGCTTGAAAATTGGACGAGGAATAAACATGAAATAGAAAACAAAAGAATAAGTTGGGTTCAAATTACGCTGTTCAAGTTGTAAACTTTGAGCATAGTATTTGAAAGTTGAACTCACTTAATTGGCATGTTCTAAATTCAATGGCATCCCCCGTTTTACCAGATTCGCTCAGGTTTTCGAGATAACGGTAATTGAAAATTTGATTAAACTTTAACTATTTTATAAACAACTCCCTCAGTTTTGAAATTATTTTACAAAAGTTTTGCACATAACGGTTTTTTAATATTACCTTAATTATTCCTTAAAATTATCGAAATGGTTTCACTCCAAAACAACTGATTACTCAGATATATGTTTTTGCGATATAACTCTAACTTCATATCTGAATAATAAATTGTATGCGTGCTATATGTTAACGTGAACCTATACTAAATTTTTACCCGCTTAATTGGATGAGTTATGACGCAAAACAACGTCTCTGAACAATCAGTTGTATGGGAGCTACATGTTATAGTAAACCGATTTTGATGATTTTAAGAGATAGTGTAGGTAATATTAAAATACAATCGTGTGCAAAACTTCAGTAAAATATCTTCAACACCGAGGGAGTTTTTTTTTTAATAGTTAAATTTTAAGCAAAGTTTTAAGTACACATAAGTAAGAGCAACTATCAGAACCTTTGTTAAAACAAAATTGTTTATTTGATACCACGCCAGATATATTCTGACTACTAAAAGGGGCATTATTAAAAGTAGTAAATCACGGTTTGTACACACTTCTAGAAAAAATTTGTTTGAAGCATTTTACAGGTATATGTAATTTTATAAGGACTAGTAGTTCTAGAAAGATTTAGATCGTTTCGACGTATTTTCCAAATGTGCCTTCAATTAAAATTGTTTTGGAATAAAAATTACGCTCAAGATCGCAGAATATTTTATCTTTAAAAGTTAGTTTATTCTAAAACCACAAATCTTGCTACAGTACTAAATTATTTTTAAGTGTTTGTAGAATACAATACCTTTTTAGAAGGTGTTCAAAATGAAACGCTTCAAAATCTAGACGCGATAAACCGAAAATTTTTAAAATTTTGGTAAGAAGAGTTACAAATTTTGAATTACTTGCCATTAAGTTATTTTTTAAAGCACATTTTAGTTACCTACTACATGTGAGTGTCCACGTTAGTACTAGTTGCCCATAAAATTTCAAATCAGTATATTGTGTGCTCCAAAAGTCATGACATAGTTAACTTTTCACCACTTAAAAGTTACACAAAAAATTCACCTGTTTTTAATATTTTTTTGAATGAAAACATAACTATGATAAATAGCCCAGTAAAATTAGACTGTTTCTTAAACAAAATGAATGCCTAATGAAATTTATGGGCGAGACTGTGAATCCATGATCTACGTGTCAAATAGAAGTAAACTGCATCAAAAAATCGCTGTTACAAATTTTATTTTTTTTTTCTTACCCAATTTATCTAATTTTACTGGGATAATCGCTTTGTATTTTACGATCCCGGCCGTGTTATAAGCGTCGTACAAAAAAAAATTTTGGTATACAAGTGTGGAGAACGAAAGTCTCTAGTTTAGAGGTTTGGGATTTTATGTATTTTCAACAGAAATTGTCAAAAAATGGCGAAAGCCGTGACACTATAATTTTTTTTTTCAGTTTTTGCTAATTTTTTACTATAAAAAATGCTATTTTTATAAAACCTTCTATACCGTAAATGTGGGAAATTAAATTGTTACGAAAAATGCAAAATAAGCTTGAAAATTGGAAAAAACCCAAAAAAACTTAAATCCAAGATGGCGGATGTTGCCAAATGAAATTTAGGGGCAAGACTGTGGATCCATGATCTACGTGTCAAATAGAAGTAAACTGCATCAAAAAATAGCTGTTTCTTTTTTTAATGTTCCTACCAAATTTATCTAATTTTACTGGGCTAAAAAGCTATGCAACAAAGTGATTCAACATTTTTTCAAGTCTTCAAATATACGTCTATGATTATATCCAAAAGCAACCAGCTTGATATAGTTTACAGCAATGGAAATAAAGCTAAATAACACATTGACCCAAATAATACAAGGGATTAAAAAAGGATTATTTAGGAATTTAAATAATCTGAGCCTGCATAATACTTAAATGGCATGTAACCGTCTCGAGTGTTTCATTGATCCTAAAAAATTATATTCACCTCAAAAGGAAAGAACTAATTTTTGTATGTGTAATTCCTATGGGAGAACTAACTGCTCGACTCGGGATCTCTTACAATTGTCTCAAAGAGGGGATATTCCTAGAGGATCATTACTATACAAATGCTAAAATTTAAATCTCATTCCGGTCGCATTGCAGGATTTTTTAGTTTTTGACTTGGTCTAATGTATAGTCTGTAAATTTCATTAAATACTAAATGTTAGTTTTTGCTTTTGTGAAAAGTTATTTTCCATTTTTAAATCATCTAGCTCTATAGTGTATACTAGTTATATCGTACATATTTTATATCTAAGTGTCTTTAATATCTATCTCGTTTCCCTTTTACTTTGCAGAAAAGAAGCTCTTGGTTCAATGGGAAACGATGCTCCACTTGCCTGTTTATCTGCTTTTCAACCGCTACTTTACGATTACTTCAAACAATTATTTGCTCAAGTTACTAATCCACCCATCGATCCATTTCGTGAAAAGGTTGTAATGTCAATGCAAAGCCCTATAGGGCCAGAAGCGAATTTACTCCAACCATCTGTTAAACAAGTACATCGCATTTGGTTACAAAATCCGATTCTAAGTATTCCTGACACAAATGTATTGAAGAGTAACATCCACAGGGGATGGAAAACAAAGGTTTTGGATTTAACTTATGAGTTTGAAAAAGGAGTTAGGGGCTACGTGGATTGCATTGACGATATTTGCCGCCAAGGTTTCGATGCCGCTTCTTCTGGTTATCAATTGTTAGTTATTTCGGATAGAAACGCTGGTCGTGGAAGAGTCCCTGTATCGGCATTGGCTGCATTAGGCGCTTTACATCATTTCTTAATAGAAACTCTTCAACGGATGAAGGTTGGAATTATAGTAGAAACAGCTGAGGCTCGTGAAGTCCACCACATTTGTGTATTGCTTGGCTACGGTGCAGATGCAATTTGCCCTTACTTGGCTTTTGAATTAGCACAAGCGCTTCGGGATGATTGTGTCATTAATTCCGATGTTAATAATAAGCAAATTTATAATGCTTATGCCAAAGCTATCGAAATGGGTGTAGCAAAGGTTATGGCTAAAATGGGCATAAGTACTCTACAGTCTTATAAGAGTGCTCAAATTTTTGAAGCTGTTGGAATAGGTGAAGAATTAATTAGTAAGTGCTTTCGTGGAACGGCGAGTCGGATTGGAGGTATTACTTTGGAAACAGTTGCAAAAGAAGCTATAGAACGGTACAACATGGCATTTGGCGATAGATTATTTGACACTCGAATTTTGCGAAATCCTGGTAATTATCATTGGCGTAATGGAGGGGAAGCTCATATAAATGAGCCTGCTGCTATTGCAAGTTTACAAGAAGCTACGTTAAATAAAAACTGGAACTCATTTGAAGCGTTTAAATCGACAACATTAGACAGTGTAAGGAAGTGTACACTCAGAGGGCAACTCGAGCTCGTTACCGATCAAAATAAAGTAGATATATCGGAAGTGGAGCCAGCATCAGAAATTGTTAAAAGATTTGTTACGGGGGCCATGAGTTTTGGTAGTATTTCTTTGGAAGCACATCAGACATTGGCTATTACTATGAATCGTATTGGAGGAAAAAGTAACACCGGCGAAGGTGGTGAAAATTCAGAAAGATATTTAGGTAAGTATTTCTTATTAGGTTTGGGTAGTTCTTGAACTAAATGGACTAAAGAACAAGTTCATCTCACTAGTTCGGTATTTTTATTGAACTAAATTTGTCAGTGCTACTATTTCTCCTTTTGTATCGCGATCCCAATATTCGTGTGATATGTATGTATCTCATATTTACAGGTACGTTTTAAAACGCTTTCGCTTTGTTGCTACTTTAGTTTCTTGCGAAAGAGGTTTTTCAGGGCGGGGCAAATATTAAACTAGCGTAAAACGCTTTTGAAATTAAACACGCTTTCTAATTAATTGTTTTTGCATTCAGCTTGCTTAATAAAATAAAATTCATTTTCCATTTTAAGAAGAGCTATAAAAAATTGGTTTCATTTGGTGGTCTTCAAGCTTTACGGGCAATAAAAATGTTAAATTTAGAGTTTGTGGGCTGAAAATCATGTTGCACTTTTTGAATAATAGGCGTTTTTTAGAAAACTTTTACGTGTGTTTTGCTGTGCTTTTCGAAGTTTGAAAAGAAGCAGTCAACAAGGATGGAAAGACACCACTGTTTAGACTTTTTGCTGCAAAATATTATTAAGGGGATGATACCCGAAGTTTTTTGTTGAAACTTGTACGTTCCGTTCCGTAGTCCGGGAGTTAACGACAAACATTTTCGGGTAATTTTCGCAAGCCTAATTTTTTGTCAATGAGGTATTCGAGTAACGTACGATACTAATTTGGACGGGGGTTAAAATTGTAACGATAAATAAGAAAGACAAATTTATAGCCGCGTACGCGAAACTTCTTGTACGTATCATTTGACATAAAAGAAGCTAAAAAAATATCGTCTGCCGTCTAAATTCTAAGGCAAAATCGTCTGCTACCCACAAAAATATCGCAAAAAAAACAATTTATTTCCGCAAAGACGAAATTAATTAAAATGCTTATTTTTATAGTAACAAAGAGAAAAATAATAGTCTGCCGCCAATAACATACAGCGAGATTGTCTGCCAGTGAGTTATTGGCCAAAACGCTTAAAAATGTTAGAATGATAGTTACACAATCGGAATTGATTGAAATAAATCTATATTTTGTAAATTTTTGCGTTTATTTTAACAACTATAGTCACATTCAACATCTCTGCTTCCTTTATATCGTGGTTCAAGAACATCATTCATCTTTGCGGAAATATATATATTTTTTGCGATATTTTTGTGGGTGGCAGACGACTTTAGCCTTCAAATTTAGATTGTAGAAGATATTTTTTAATCTTCTTATATGTCAAATGATACGTACAATAAGTTCCGCGTATGCAGCTATGAATTTTTTGGCTTAGATTTTGCTATAATTGTAACCCTCCTGTAACCCCCTACCGCAGATATGCGGTGGCAGACGTTCAAATTAGTATTCTACGCTACACGCATAACTAATAGAAAAAATATAAGCTTGCGGAAATGGGTTAATTAAATCTGTTGTTAACTCTCGGCCTATTATACCTAGCCTAATTATAAGCAGTGATGGGCACACTTAAATACTTTTGTACTTAAAGTACCAGTTTGGGTATTAATACCCAAATACTTAATCAGCCTCATTGCGTAAGTCGTAAATTAGAATAAATTGTACGATTCGACAACATCGGCATTGTCGACTGTCGTGCTAAAATAAGTAAACGACGAAAATCGTCGAAAACTATGCAGTGGAAATTTTAGGCAATGACGTGAAATTTTCGATACCATTCGACTCTCGAAAAACGACTTGCTCGCAATGAGGCTGAATATTGGGAGATGTCTAAATATTCAAGTAGAAAGAACTTAGATATTTAGGAGTATGCTAAATACTTCAAATAAAAAATACTTAGGTAAATATTTAGTTGCAAAATACCCGAGTAAACAATACCTAGGTATTTAGGAGTTTCCTAAATACTGAAGTACAAAAAACTTAGGTATTTAGGAGTTGTTAGATATTAAAGTATAGAAATGCTATTTCTATATGTCCTTATTAACTTAAAAATTAAACAAATACAAGTTGATTATTACACACAGAAAATTCTGATTGTTATCGTCGCCAGAAAATACGTTGAATGAAGTTAATTTCGGTTAATATAAACGAATGTCACAAAAGCTCTGTTCGTTTACTGCGCCTTTTGAAGTTGCCACTTAACTACTGCGGCAAGTGTTAGGGTTGGTCCCTACACCACCCCTTTCCAAACCTAGCAGCGGAGAAATGTATCCAGGGTAACTGCGTATGTTGGTGATGCGTCGCTGCTAACTTGCCCCTGGTGAAGTAAGCCGATTTAAGCCTGTCAATGGACACCGTGACTTGTCTTGATCCAATCAATATTGTATACGTCTTGGGGTACCTGTTTACAACGAGGTACGGCCCCTCGTACGGCGATTTCAATGGCTTGCGGATAGTGTCATCATGTAAAAATAAGTGACAGCAGGATCTCAGATCTTTTGGCACGAAAACGGTGTGCTTTCCATACTGTGAAGTTGGCGTTGGCCTAGCCATTTCGAAATGTTGTCGCAAATCCCACAGGCAGCTCTGCTCATCTACAGGGGTGTTATCGTCGGCCTCCAGGAAATCGCTGGGTAACTGGATAGGCTGTCCGTAGAGCATCTCTGCTACGTATACGCCCAAGTCCTCTTTCACTGCCCGTTCGTAAGCCTAAAAGAACGATGGGTAGGACGTCGACCCAGTTCCCCTATGCAGCGTGACATCTGAGGGCGGCTTTCAACACCTGATGCCATCTCTCCACGAATCCTTTCGCTAGAGGGTGGTAACTGGTTGTATGGATGTGTGTGAAGGCAGAACTTGTTTTTGAAGTCGTCCAATCTATAGTATTTTTAATGAATGAACTCCACTTTCAGCTAAAAGTCAAAACTTTAACCCTCCGTAAAAAATTCCGAACCTCCTCTTTCATAATATATAGGATTGGTTCGTGTTGAGTGACCAGTGTTGTTGTACAGTGATACTGGAATCACAAAAGTTATTTATGCAGGTACAAAGACACTTAAAATTTTAATAGTTTACTCTAATGCACTATCTAAAGCTAGTTCATCTTAATAGGCTTCAAAATCATTGCAAGGCTCCAACTCTGCCTCCATAACATACTGAATGCAAGCATCATCTTCAAAAGAGTTGTCTTCACACGTTTCAGTCTATTAGTTTGAAGTTGGGAAATATGCTTTTGCTACCAAGTTTTTACCACTTGAATATTGTTGCTGTGACCGTAAAAGTTTAATCCGCCTTTGTGCTCAATAATTGTTTATGAATAATTGTGAAGAAAGTGCTTGGGTTGACTTCAGTGTACATCGACATGTGTGTGTTTTATCAAAACTATAACGAATTTTCGCATGAAACTTTACGAGGATGCTAAGAAACAGATATGTTTACATAAATTCTCACTATTTGTAATTTGTTGTTTAAATTGTTTGCACTTCCGCTGGCAAATTTTCAATTAAAAAGTGCAGCTATCACTTATATTTATATTTCCATAAATGCACGATCTTTTCTATGTTCCCGTGTGATTTGTATATGTTCATTAAATGTATTTTATTTTATTTTTTAACAATATAAAACGTGTTTAGTAATTTCGCTACTTTTCTTCAACAAAGTAAACAAGCAGACAAATCAAAATGGCTGTATTGCCCGAACAGAAGGGTGCTACCAGATATTCGAAATTTGAGGACAGTAAAATGTCGAACTTGTATTTCATAATGACCACAACATAAGGGTATATTTGAATATGTGCTTTTTCAAATAACAACCCCAAAAAAATGTTCAATTATGGCCATTTTTTAATAAAAATGTATGTTTTTCTTTTGAAAAGCTTTTAGAAGTTATTAATTATTCTTATTAGCTTTAAATCAACTCGTTTTTAATTTTTAAAATGTAATTATAAGTATTTAGAGAATGTACACTTTTTCCATACTTCTTGCATTTTTTAATAAAAATAAAAAAATTTAAAAAAAACGCTTGTGGCGCTATGTTTTTTTTAAATAAAAGTCAATATTTTATAAAACCTAAAAATTCGAGTAAAAAATTTATTTGATATTACTTTTGACATTATTCAAATCGTCTGGCAGCACCAACTTCGGTGTTCAGTTGCTACCCTCGCATGTTTACTACTTTTATATATATTTTATCGTGGTTATATTAACAAAATCGGTGTTTGGTGTTTGACACTTCTTTGACAGCTCAACTCCGCCATTTAATATAAAAAATCCTCACGGAAAATTTATTCATGATAGGAGGAAAGGGAAAAGAGAAAAAAACTTCCGGAGAGTTTCTGTTCAGAATCGGCCTGAATATATCCCCGGTGCCAGCACCACTCTTCTTTGAGTCTGCTATTTTGCCAGCCTTCCTTGCATAAGCTGTACGTATACTTTTTATTTTTGTTTTTAGGTCTTCAATGGAAATTTTTACCTCCATCTCACTTAATATTGCCCGGTGAGCCTCTTTCCGGGCAAGGTTATTCCGGTACGCTTGCACGTGGGGTCCCATAAACATGGGTGGTGCTCATAGCATTCAACCGGTTTTATTATATTATTTCTATTCATTTTATACAATTGTCTATAAAAATTATGAAATTATTTTAAATTCTAAAATTGACAACTGTGAGGACCAAATATCTCTGAGGAATTCGACCCTCACAAATACCGACCACCATAGCACCAGAAATCGGCAAAATGACAATACACGTTGCCAAAGTAACGCAACAGCAACACAAGTCAGAGCAGCTAGCCACGCAACAAGCCACAGCAACACTAGTCATAGCAACACTCGACAGCCTCTTCGTTACCAAGACAACGTAACATCACACAGCAAGATGTAGCTGCACGACCACGCAACATTAAGCACACAGTCGATTAAAGAAGCAACACGACGGAAAAGTACTCACTCAGCACGAGACTGTGGTCGTGAATGGGCGGCTATTGGCAAGGAGTAATTTCATCTGCGCCGGCTTGAATCGTCGGGCTTGACTTCACTTCTGAAGCAGCTGCTGGTAAGGGCGGTTTC